TTCTATTTTTTAGTTTATACACACACACACACACACATATATATATATATATATATATTTATCAGTTTTATTCCTCTGCTAAAAATAGAATTCTAACATCTTTTTTGCAGTTACCGTAAGAATCTGCATACAATAAGATTTTTCATTGGCAGAACTAATGCGCATTCAGTGCACTTTAAAGCCGCTGTACAATCGACATAAAGATGTATGATTAATAAAAATATAGAAACGAGTTAAATCGCAAAATCCTTAATACATTTTATTATGCTATTTGACAAAATATACTTTAGGCATTATATCATCTTAGATATCTTATTTTACATTTAGATTAGAGTTGCCTACAACAGCTTTAATGTGCACTAACAATAAATAAGCACGAGTTTTGCCAATGAAAAACACTATAATATTCTATTAGTGTCAAGAAAAAAAAAGAACGGTAAGAAGTTATTTTTATGAGGTAATGTTGCCAACTCTGCTTTAATTTTAGTTCAATTTATTCTTTATCTTTTTCTAATTTTATAGCCGGTATTGGTTCTTATATTTACGACTATCTTAAGTACAGTCTTAAGATGTCATAAACCAATGATGGATTAATATCTTAAGACATTACTTCAGATGATCTTGAAACAGGTCTATGAATTCCGATCTAAGAATTAGAAAAAGATGTAAGTTGAACCGAGATGATGGGATCTGTTCTGTAGCTCTTAATGGCTGTAACTGTGTTACATGGTAAAAAAAACTGCGCAAAAACAATGTAATACTACATAGTCGTTAACAAGAGTTACAGAATAGGTTCCTAAAAGTTAATCTACATTGATGGAAACGGATTAGACTTGATTAGACAATTGTTAATAAAAATTGACGACAAAACTGAACGTTTTCAAACGACAAATATGAAACTGCATAGCGTGAATAACGGCACGTTGAACATTAACTGATAATCCAACTTCATACAATTACGACACCCATCGCTCAAAGTATTCCTGGAACTTCGCGGCTACCTCGATGAAGCAATCAGAATCGCATAGCGGCGAATTCACGCACGCTGATGTGCAAAAGTTGACGCGCGCGCGCCATCAATTACGTTGTTACTCATTCCGCTCTGACGCAAACATGCGTAAAAGACAGAAACGCTAACGTTACACCGCGGGACACGATTCGCTTCCACCGTGCGATTATACTGAACCTTGTTAACCTTGACATTTCGAGCAACTCTCTTGCCTCGCGTTTATTTTAGAAAGGCAGAACGACATGTCCCATGACGAATTCCCACCCCGCGGGTCGATAAGCGATACTATTGAGTATGATGCGATTACTTCTATCATCATCTATTTATGTACAGACTCTCCTAGAAGCATTGCCGCTCTTTTCAACAGCATGTTCTTAAGTTGATGTGTGTGACTGTTTTCTCTCGATGACAAACATTTTATTCATTCTTCCTCGTAAATCTTTCGCGTTAAATTTTCCGATACTTTTAGTAAAGTAAAATTAGCTAAAGAAAATGAGATATTTTTCGATTTTTATGAAACTTACTTTTAATAACTTGAGAGTCGCTTAGATCTCCGCAACTTTATTTATGGAAAAGATCTCATAAAATTTGCTCTCCTTTTTTACATTTTTGATCTAATTTTTAATTGTTGTTACAGTCTTTGTAATGTCAACGTTTTTAATATAAAAAATAAAATATTTTATCGCGTTTTTTCTCCTTACATTAATTATTTTCAAAAGTAGAAAAGTTATTACGTTTGATAACTGCTTGGATAATTATCTTAGTTTAATGTATTTGATAAATATCTTTTTATTTTACGGTCTTTAATGAAAAAATACTCTAACAAAGGAACAAATTTTCACAAAATTTATTTATAAAATTTAAGATCAATGGGGATCGCGCAAATTTGATCAGAAATTGATCAGTGAAATGCAGTCACGGATAATCAACTCGAGCATCGAATCGAGAGCACGGTTCTCCACGAGATATGTTAATCTCTGGACGAAGATATTCCAGAAGAAGAAGAAACCGTTAGCTTCAGAGGTTAGTGGGTCTCTCGGTTTCTCATGAATTAATTCGGCCACTCCCCTAATTTTCTCACGCGTTGTATTTTTTTATCGGTCCTATGGGGATCTTTTCTCAGAGGACCGTGCGCACTTTCCCCGGACACTCTTACGTAACAATACACGCTGTATTACACTTCGCGTGTCTCCATTCCCGTGGCACTACGCGATCGCACGACTGTGATAAGCACGTGATTCTTCCCAG